GGCTTCAACAGTCAACAATTACATCTTTTAATCCATCAGATATTCAGCTGAAGGAATGTGGAGACATAACTTACTTGGGGTTTATGTTTTCACCCTGGTCTTGGAGAGTTTCCAAAACATCTCCACCATTCAGGACAAGTCGAACCTTTTCGTCCTTGTCATCCATCTCCACCAACATGTACTCAACCTAAAAGTAAAGTAAAAAAAAAAAAAGCAAAAACAGGAAACATCATCAATCCACGGTCACAAACACTGCATCACATCCACTGTTTCATTCATTCAATGTACTCTTCTTACTTCTAAATCAGGCTTTTCAATCCATGCTAGACTACAGCACAAAGCAGACGTTTTCAAGATCAGACTGGGACGCCATCACATCAATTCCAATTCATCAGTTATGTTTCCTTGACTTTGACTCTGCTACCCTGTAATCCCCTGTCTGAAAGAGGGATTAATCTATAACAACAGCATTCCACATTGTTCGAAATGAAAACACTTTGTTCAAGCTGTAGCACACTGAAGTTTTTGCGGGCTGGTGGCGGGCAAAAAACTACAAACAAAAAAAAAAAAACGGAGCGAAGATCTGAACAGGCAAGCGGACATATCTTATGTTGTAAAGCAAGCTTTATGTGAAAGTTTACTCATCAGTGAGTGACCTCCTGGATTATTAATATTAAATAGACAGTTACTAGGAAACTGAATTAGTTGCCATACTCCTACTCATACTGTTAAACATGTGCTTTTAGTTAGGGAGTGAATTATTCTTTAGTCACATTATTGTGAAATATTTAGACTTTGTACCAGACACTAGTGCTGTTATTATAGATTCATCCAATAATAAATAAAATAAAACTGTTTTCATTTGTAACCAATAACAACAGGTTTGACTATCACAGCTTACATACAGACATTATGAACTGTAGTATACTGGAAACATGTCAATGACAGCAACCTGTGTAAATATTCTTACAGTATTACACATCAGTGCTGCACAATATGGTAAAAAAAATATTAAGATTATTTTGACATATAATGTGAATAATGTGGGAATGGCCTTTTATGCAACACACGTGTAATTTTCACTACACAAATCTATTAAAATCATCCGTGAAATGTGACATTTCTGGGGGGTCTGTGCCAAACAAACATGTTTTCTTAAATTTCTTCTTTAAAAACAATATTTGTAGCACAGAGCATCTCTCCAGCACCAAAAGTACTTCTTTATAACGCTGTTTTATCACATATTTGACCTTTCATCAAAGCAATGCAGCTCTTGCAATTTGCATATCGCAGTTTAGACAATATTGAAAAGCTTATTCCTGCAGTGACAGAAAGAAAAACAGGGTAAGACTGTGCAGGATTGCATCATACACGACCCTCACCAAGACTGACAGAAGAGGCATGAACAGGCAGCACTTTACACACGTTAGTTGGTTCATTTTAAGTAATAATTAAAAACAAAAAGCTACATTTCTTACCTCATCGCCCCATTTCAACACATCTTTCTGACGCTCCTTCACCTTGTTGTAGATGTTGAGGAACTGAATGATGCCGTGCTTTCTGATGTGGTCGGCATACTTCTTGGTTTCTTCCCAGTTCAGTGGAGAGCCCTGTGACAGTAAACCCATCGCACAGACGAGGCTGCTGCTTTTTTTATTTTAATTTATTTATTATATATATGTATGAACTTGCACGCCGAGCGTTAGCTAGCTAGCTACTTTGTCCAACTCGCACGGAGCTAGCATGAAGTCCGGGTCCGAACAAATGAAAGCGGCCGAGCTCCGGGTCCTCCTCGGCGGGTGCCGTCAGGGTGACTCACAGGCTGAAGTGTGGAGGCTCTCGGTGCTGTGGAGCGGCGTGTCCTGTCGGTAACCTTAGCCGGGCATCCAAGAAGAAGCAGGCCCCGCTGCTCATCACTTGCTAATTGTCTTGAGTTAGCTCGATAAAGCTCAAACCCCGGGAGCTGATGTATCTGTCACCCCGAGGAGGAAGAGGAGGAAGAGGAGGAGGAGGAGGAGGGAGAAACAAACCCCTCACGGAGTTAGTCAGTGCTCCTCCTGTTACCGAGCTCGGACACGGAGGCTGTTAACGTTGCGGCTCTGTGACGGAATGACAGCGAGGAGTTGAACCGGTAGGTCGTTGTTCCCAATTCAATCTGCTTCCCAGAGTTGGTGTGTGTGTGTGTCTGTGTGTGTGTTTGTGTGTGTGTGTGTGTGTCTGTGTTGCATATGAACGTGCTGCCAACACACGTGATGTCGTCAGGCGGAGCGTAGAGCGTGGTGAGGTCACTATGACTCAGCATTCTTCGCTCGCTCGGCTCCTCCCACTGACCCGTCGATCAGGTGGCGGTGCTGCGTTCAGGGGCTGTTAGCAAGTGTGAAATGTGAAAAATGTGATAGAGTGGGGATATATTTTGCTTCTTTTTTTTTACGCAAATAAAATTCACTATATAGCCCTGGTGTTAGTTGCCAAATGGAAAAGGACAAATGCATAAAGGAAGGGAGGAAAAAGATCATTTTATAGCTTCACGTTTTCTCTTCCCAGTTTCAAATGTGCATTTAAACTTTCAATTTTAGCATTTTTTACTTTCCACTTCAGGGATTGTCATTTCACATCCATTTATAATGTCAGTATCCAATTCCCTTTTTCAATTGTTTTTCTGTTTAACATTTTCATTATGATCTGTTTGGTCTGAGTAGTACAATTGCATAATAGTTTCCCCTTTTAATTTTAATTCTGGGTAAAATTTGATGTTCTCATATAGCTTATTTTGTCCAACACCCCGTAATTCAATTTACATGGATATATGGCACCAAATGGTGACATTTGAGAAGCTGGGACCAAAGAGTGTTTGACATTTTTTTTTTGACAAATTTCTTTTTCTGAATTGAACTGTTGTCAAGTAGCCTACCTATCTTTTGACTGACGAATCAGTTAATCAACTAATTATTTCTGTAGTTGTAACTCTCTTAATCTTCTTAGACACTGGTGAAGATTTGAGAAAGGCGAGGTAAATGTATCACAAATAATAATTGTTTGAGCAAAATCTGCCATAAGGAATTCACTGCTTGTAAAACCCCAACTCAAATCAGTGTTTGAAAAAAAGCACATTTGTTAATATGGCAATTTAATTGATTTAGGACACAGTATGTAAGCTGTTCATAGTTCAACTTTTAAACCTTAGATTGATTGATAAAACTGATATTGCCCGCCAGAATATGACAGCATGACGCAGCCATGTGCTGTTTTGTTTTTGTTTTTTTTTGTTTTGTCACGATCCCAAAGCATAGTTGGTATCTTGTCTTATCAGTTCCAACCACAAATGAATGAGTCATGTTTATGACTATATTATGGCTACCAACTTATCAGCAGCACTAGAATGCAAAATCATAGAAGCAAAAAGCTGATTGTAATAATGACACAGCACTTGAATCTGTTATAGATTGTGTGTACTGTACATGTGGGTGGATAAAAGTGTATAGGTCATTGAACTGTACGGACATCTGCCCAAAAAAGGATGTGGTTTAACTTACACTGACAGTTTATTTTCTTTGGGTTTTACTGGTTTCCATTGGATTGATTAATGAGATCCTGTTTGTACTAGTCTTTACAAGTTTAGTTTAAGTAATGACTCTGCAGTTTTTCCAATGGCTCTCTATAGTAACAATCACAGTAGGGTGGGGAGGTTTAAAGCAGAGACAGACAAAAAAGACAATAGGAAATCTTGAGGTAGCTCATGACATGTTTAGTTTGAGTTTAATTCCAGTTCACGACGGCAGCTCCAGAAACAAGCCACAGACAACTTGTTCAACATGAGTTTGAGGTGTAAATTTTACATAATATACAGATGATATAAATGTATTGTTGGTGTGAAACACAGCAATCAGGAGTTCTTCAGGTCTGTGTGGGTGTTATTTTATTAGATTTGACTGATGTTGCTCAACTCTGACTGGTTCTCAGAAGTATGTGACCTTTACATTTTTTCCCCTCCTGAGTCCCACTTTACATCGTAGTGAAAATCAAGGACAAAACTTTAAATAATCTCTGTTTCAGTTCAAACCTTAGCAGAAGATTTTATATTTGAACAGGACCTCATCATTCATGGTTAAAAAACTGTCCTAAAAGTCCTTTAACATTGATTTTATAGGCTGCAATGCCTCCTCTGCCTATATGACAATTCCTTAAATTTCACATTGTCACTTGCTCCTTTCAAATTTCACAATGTGGGACTAATGGACTATAGTACACAAAAAACGATGCATTGTGCGTAATGTAATAGCCCTTTCATGTAATAATTTGGCTCATGTTACATGTTCTCACAGTTTAAAGTGTGTTTACAGTGTAAACAGCTGACATTTTTTGTGGTTTAACAACAAATTAGAGGCAGAATTAACAGCTACAAGTAGCTGCAGGATTTTTCACTCAATGCCAGTGAGCTTCAGGTTATTCAGATTGGCAATATACAATATAGAATCACTAACCTGCTATCTTCTTGTTCCGTATTTAAGTAAATACGTAAAGATATGTAAGAAATACACACATTTATCTTTTGTCTTAATCTATTCCCTTTGACACCATTGATGTAGGATTAAAGTAAAGAATGCATCCTTCATGATTCAACTGGAAAATGGAAATGTTGCCCTCTCAGTGGCCTCGTCTCTTGTTCCTCATGGTGCACAGATACTGCAGTAAACACTATGCAAATCTTGTGAAACTAAATCATTACATAGTTTTTCATAGCACACTTTCAGTCCAGTCAAGTCATATAATGTTAACTGTACTGTGGCATTTTCAACAGTTTCCCAAAAGAATAAAAAACACCATTAAAAAGGGCAAATAGAGATGAACTAAAATCCTGTGTACGTGTATGAAATGTTCATTTATGGTGGTAAAAAACAAACCTGAACCTGATTTTTTTTAAATAACCGTGTCACACAAATGCATCCCTCACAAAATCCACCCAATAAAATTCATTTTCAATAAATGACCATGGCTCAGAGTAGCTTACACTTCATCTCTTTAATTTAAAAACAAACAAAACAAATGAAAAGACATGAGCAGTCAGGATATTCATGAGTACTGACCTCCAGGAAAGCCCAGGCCAACAGCGTTATTCCAAAGTTATATTTTTCTTTTTTTTTACAAAATTAGTTTGTTACTGTCGCATCTAAACCCATTCAACCCTCATCACTCCAACATTTTCCCAGCAGAATCCTGATAGTGTTAATGCCGATCACACAACATATGACACAAGACCACTGAATGCTGTACATGAGACACATGTAGAGAAACTGCGGCCTTACTGTGCAGTGTGTTTAAACACTAACCACAAGCACCTACTCCTGGTAGGTGGTGCCACCACTTACTCCAGCTCCAGCTCTTTTTTTTGCCTCTCATTACTCAGTGTAGTATCTGAGAATCACAGTAGCTTTAGTCACCATAAACAAGACTGTCACAGAATCCTTTAATATTAATGGTTGTGCTGTAAACAAACAGCACAGTATTATTAATTGTATGGCACCGGGTAAAAAAAAAAAAAAAAAAGAAAGTTATGTTACAGATTAATCTCAAACAGCATTGATTTAGCATTTTTTTATACCTTTCATTTGAGTTTTAAGTATCCTGTCTGGATTGGCCCCAAAAGTACATTCCTGTTTAAAAATGTTAATATGTCCAGTTTGTCTCTATCATAAACATTAACTGACCTTAATAATGCCAATTATATAATTAACTATACATTCTGAGAATAATTTTTTTTAGCATTAGCTTCAATTTGTTTAAAATCTTAAAATTACATGTTCCCAAATTTGTAATCTTTGGATTTTATCATATGTGTGCTCATCTAAAGAAAGTTGATCACCATTTAAAATGATCAACTTGGCCCCAAAAAGAGGGACTGTTGGTAGAGTTTAGAACCAAGTTTTATGCAACAGAAAAGCTGGAGACCTTTAGACATGTAAACTACATCATTATCATCATCTAAACCCTTATATACTGACTGGTGCAGAAGAGACTGAACTGGCTCTGGACTCTCGTGTTTTCCGTGTGGGTATGCTGACGACACAGCATGAGATGCCGACTGTAGCTTCTGGCAATTCATCATCCTCAGTCCATTCATTGAGGTCAGGATTGTAAACCTGAATGCATTTCTTGTACTTCTTCTCGCCCTCGTTCCAGCCTCCGAGGAGATAGACTCTGTTGTTCAAAATGGAAATACCGGCCGTGCTCACTCCTGTGTGAAGAGGCGCGCAGTAGCTCCACTGCCCGCTGTGAGGGTTGTAAGATTCGACAGCGAGGACATCCACCCTCTCCCCGCGACCTCCCAACTGGCTGCCACCGATGACGTAGGCTCTGTCTCCCACGGTGGCACCGCAGTGCCAGCCTCGAGGTGTGCTCAGACTGCTCTTATCCTGCCAGGTGTCAGTGGAGGGGTCATATGAGCACACGGCCCTGGAGTAGGCGTTGTTGATGTAACCTCCTGATACGAGGATCTTGCCATCGATGAGGGAGCTGGCATGGCAGCAGCGGGGAATCTCCATGGGAGCTTTCATCTGCCACTGGTTGGAGGAGGGCACATAGCACTCCAGTGAGGCCTGAACACCGTCAGCGTTTCGCCCTCCGATGGCAAACAGGAGGCCGTTGAAGGTGTTGAGGCTGAAGTGGGTGCGCCTCTGGATCATGTTGCTCAAGTGATTCCAAGTGTTGAAGCGGGGATCATATCTAAAGAACATGAGAGGGATTCACAGTTAATTTCTAATTCTATACAAATTAACCTGACAAATAAAGTCTCAAATAGTTTCTTACCTGCAGAAGTTGCTAACAGCATGTTTAGCCTGGTTCCTTGCATCATTCTGGTCCTCACCACCTGCAACATACAGGAAGCCATCCAAGACTGCCACACACTGATTGAAGCTCTTTGCTGGCATTTCTGTCAACCTATTCCACACGTTGTCTGCATCTCTGTAGAGAACATCTTTGCTGAGGGATTTCTCTGTCAAGGCAGGGCGTCCGCCGACTGTGAGAATCACCTTGAGGCCACCGCGTACCTTTGTTCTGCGTGACTGCAGGATGTTTTGTTGGTATGGCAGCAGGTGGTAATTCATGGCGTCAACAAGGAGACGGTGGCACTCGGGGTCTTGCATCATTCTAGGCACAGTCTGGACATGATTCACCAGGTCTTGGGCAGAGATAGTGCCAAAGCGGATGTGAGTTAGGAGATCTGCTGCGTACTTCAACCTCTTCTCGTCGAAGTCCAACCATTTCATGGCGATCTGGAAGGCTGTGATCTCGGAGGGAAGCTGCAGGGAATCATCTGAGAGGAAATCACTGATCTGCTCGTAGGTGAGCTTCAGGAACTGCTCCATCTCAGAAAACTCGATGAAGTTCTCCCGCATGAACTTCTGAGCCGCCTTCTTGGTGTCATTCAGGTCATAGGCATCAGCGATATTGGCCACATACATGCAATTCTCCACGCTGAGCTCCTGCATGAGGAAATCACTGCACATCTTCACTAAGGTGCCGATCTGCAGCAGCATGGCTGCAGCGATAGTGCTGCCGATGCCGTACAGCGACAGGGTCAGCTTTCCAGAGTATGCATATGTGATTGCTGTGGCGAGGCCGACCGGTGAGAGCTCGTTCAGGTCGATCTTGTGGAGAGTCGAATCCTTCTTCAAGATGTTGCGAATGTACTCGCTACAAGAGGCCATGACCACCTTGTGGACATCAAATGACTTCGACTTGGTGGCGACCGTTAGATCACAGAGGAAGCTCTCCTGTCTCATGTTGCTCAAACCCTCCAGGAGGTTTGGGGCATACACAGAATCATTAACTTCAGTGGAAATGCAGCTGAAGCCGTTTCCTCCTTCCAACAGAGTGTTTAACCCGTTGATCTTGTTGATGGGGCTGTCCTCAACCATTATGGTCATTTCATTTATGTCTCCTTTACTCTTTTTGGTCGTCTTGTTCTTTTTGGGTGCCATGGCTGTAGCAGCAGAACACAGCCCAAACCTTCTGAAAATATCAATAAAACAAAATAAATAAAACAATATAAATAAAACAAAACAAACAAAGTGTCATATAAGACAGCCAGATAGGGAAAATATGAGCGACATGGCTGGAAATAAAGAGGAGTTAAGGGTATCCCACACTCACAAGACTGAACAACATTAAAATAGCCTATATTGTTAAAACTAGATTATTTTATGTGCCTTGAGGCCCTGTTGTCCTTGTACCATGTCTTTGTACTCTTTTCCAAACTAAGCAATAACGTCAGATCCCTGTTCATTTAACTTGTTTGGCTCTACGGTGAATGTTTTCTTACATTTTGGAGTAGGTGAAATTTATTTAGACACAACCAGCCACTGACACCTTTGAAAACATGTGTGCTGCCAGGTGATGCTGGGGTGAGTGAGTGCATCAACACGTCCCTCTTTGCATCTGTCACAGTTTATCAGCAGTATGTCCAGGAATAGCAACGCTGGACGGCTCACCCATGACGTTCCTTTTATAGACTTTGGGACATGAACAGCAGGCCTCATGTCCTCTGACTCTTTAAGTTCAAAGTAGGGCAACTATTAATTTTTTGTCTACATTCTTGATTCAATTGTGTTCTTGGCCTGAATAAGTCTGCAAATAACACAAAGACAAAAGCGTTTCATAAAAAGCCACTTTTCACATTATTTACTCACAACCCTAGAAAACCTTAAGCTTACTGTCACCATAGCTATGTGTAAAAACTAATTTTACCACAAGAACAGCTTCAGACAATTTAATGACCTTTTGAAGCCCAAGTAAGTGAGAAAAGAGCTTTTTTGTTCAAATCGAACACAACTAACAAATGCCGAAGCATTAACTGCACCAAATTTCCTTTTCATTGCTAAAATACAAGCCAAGCATGGGAAAGCTCCACTTACCTGAGAAATGAAGTTGAGGCTGGTGAAGAAGGAGCTTGTGCCTCCAGTTACTGGAGCAGGAGAGAGAGAGCAGCAGTCACCACTGCTGAAAGAGACACGCAGTTAACTCCTCCTCTTAGGGAATGAGTGCCAATCAAGTATTGTGCAATGCATGTGGCAGAGGTCCCCCCCCCCAATAGTGTCCTACAATAGCCTCCAATCAGTTGATGTCAACTGCGGGGGGCTCGACCTATATCCTCAGTGGGACATCATATGAAGAGCTTCATTTGACGATTGTTTAGACATATTTCATTTGCACTCAGTGACGCAAAGAGCATCTTGTTTTAGTATCTAGAACCTGTCTTTGTTTAGATTTTACTCCTCAAATAAAAGTAAACTTGATTTATTGTTGGACGGGATCTTTTAGACAGTCTAAATGGGAATCATCTGAATGTAATTGGAGAAAACAGAAGTGTGGAAGGACACTCACTCACTCAGAAGACTTGAGCACCACTTCATTGCCAACACATTTAAAAGTGTTGGCAAGAGAGTCCTGCATGAAAAATGGTGATAGTGACCCCAACAACTATGTCCAGCTCTATAAAATATAATAGCTTGGCTGATGTGTTGGTTGAGGAAACCCGAAAGGTATACACATTATAAAATACATTAATTTTCTCCATATAATCTGAGTTTGTCATGATCATATAAGTCATGCATCTCTTCGGGTAAACTCTTGGAAAGGAGAGAAGGATTTTTTAAAGGAAAGAGTCATTCATTATGTCATCCAAAAGAACAATCAGCACGTCTGATTGAAGGATGAGAAATATTTTAGTGGCCCAATATGTCCATTCAAAGGGCCAGCAGCTCCCAAAGAGCCTTCGGGGAAATTTCATTGAGGTGGTTTAATGTAATTTTGTGATCTATAATAACATTATCTCCTGAATATAAATTCTTACATCATTTCTAAACCATACACGTCGCATTAATTTCGGCCATCGGTTCCGCCCATTATAATAGTGTCATCAATGGGCGCGCGCTGTCCGGTGTGTGTAGACGGTTGCACGTGAATCACCGTCATGGCCAGCAGCTCTGATGTGGTGAAGAAAGTCATGCGGTTCAAACTTCAGCTCACAGACACAGCAGAGTCTGCTACGGTAGATACGATGTTCATTTATTTCACATTTAAGTGCGCACACATAAACGCAGCGTAATGGAGGGGGAATGTGCTGCCTTTAAGGACAGAAATGGTTTGCAAATATATATTATAAGGAGTTCGGTCTAGACTTACTCCATTTGAAAAGTGTCCTGAGATAACTTCTGTTATGAATTGGCGCTATACAAATAAAATTGAATTGAATTGAATTGAATTGAAATGCACTCTCCAATTTGTGTCATAGGTGCAAAGATCCAACCAATAATTGCTCCAGAAAGATTAAGTGTCGTTTCGGAGCTTCTTCTGTTTCCATTGGCTAAACAAATTCCACCATCTTCCATTTGATTTTCTCTCTTATTTCGTGCATCCTTGATCATCCCCCCCACTCAGTCACAAAGGCTGATTGCCTGTTTCAGTCACTGACATGTGCGCTACTGCCGCACAGCATTTGAAGCACTTTTCTGGAGTCGGGCTGTTCAAATGGGAGGTGCCTTGCTTCTAAATTTGGCAGCTCCTCCAGTTGTCCAACTTATGGCTGCTGTCCATCATCAGTGGGGGGTGGGCGCACTTTTACGCGTAGATAGATTTATTAATTGGCCAGGGTGTAGGTGTTCAGATCACATTTAAACGCATGATAATTTAGTTGCACCACCTGAAAACACTGGATTCAGTTATATAGTGTGCCTTTAGATCAGCCAGCAGTTGCATTATCCATTTATAGTTCGAGGTAAAAGGAGTAGCCTAAGTGGGTGTGTGAGGTCCCCTTACTTAGCTTCTGCTCTGAATGTACAGTCAGCAACTGTGATCCAAAACCAGGACTTCCATATTTGGCAGGTCAGGTTTACTTCAGTTTACTTCACCTTGTAGTTGCTTTTTGTCCTAAACAGGCATGAAAACCATGTTTAAGCACATTATTGTTAATGTGTCCATGTGTTTACTCTCTTTGCAGGTTCTAAAAACTTTGCAGAAACTCAAGGATCTGAATATCACATTAGACATTCTTGCTGTGAGTGTATTTCGTGTTGATATATTTGCATATGAATTTGGGGAATTTGGAAGTCACATTTTCTTTGACTGCATTAACTTCTGCCCACATATATGTTAGGAAACTGGAATTGGCAAAACGGTTAACTCATTGCGCAGACATGAACAAGCTGGAGAATTGGCCAAGTCGCTAGTTAAGGGTTGGAAAAGATTGGTCCCTAAAGAATCCACAAGGTGAAGTGTATTCAACTTTTTTTTACTTTAATTTAACAATATACTGTATAATATGATTGATTGTGCTTAAGGTTTATGATTTTGACATTTTTCCTTTAAGCAGCCACACAGAAGATGGAGATGCGTCAGAGAGTTTGTCTGTAAAATACAAACTGGATGACCAAAACTGTCCAAATAATGGAAGTTTGACATTAGAGGATTTAAACAATAATTGCTTAACATCTCACTACAAGAACTTTTCAGATAAGGTCTTATTTAAAACAGGGAATGTGAAAGCTGATACGGAGAAAGAATGTGAAGAACAGATAAGACACGAGGACCAGAATGAAAATCAAGAAAAAAACCAGAGTATCTCTCAGAATGACGTCTTGCAAAAGGAAATTGAAATCCAAGAGGATCAAATGGATAATACATTTGTTTCAAAGGGGAAGAAAAGTGACCAGAGTAACAGAAAATCAGGAGATGGTGATATTCCTCAGAAATCCAGGTCTGATTCCAGAGAAAAAAACCAAAGGAGCTCTGATAGCGTAAGATTAGGGTCAGAAAAAGAGTCAACTAAGAAATTAAAGACATCAAAAGAATCGCCAAAGGAAGGCAAAGAGTCTTTTTCATTTGAGTCCAGTGACAAACTCCCAAAAACTTTAAAACTGGCCAATGTGAAAGACGACAGACCTTCAGGAATATCAGAGAGCTCCGAGGCCCAGAACAAAAAAAGGAAAAAAACGGATAAAGAGAAACACACCACTCTAAAGTACAAACAAGAGTCTGAAAATACCGAACACAAAAACAAAAAGGCTAAAACAAAGCACAAAGACAAGGGAAGTGACAGCCGCCCTGAGGAGCCCTCCATGTCTTTTGAATCTTGCTTGAACTATGACGAGAATGTTTTCAAGAGAAAAGAAAAATCTGCAGTCAAGAAACCTCCCAAAAAGGTCAAGACTGCCGTAAAAGAGGAAGAAACTAAAGATTCTGGCCTGAAACTTCTCAAGTCACCTGTGATGTCTATAAATGTTACCTCTCCAAAACAGGTATATGTGTACTGTGATCTTAAAGCTTTTACAGTGCAGGCCATGATAAATATTGACTAATTATACCTCATTTAAAAAGTTTAAGGAGTCTCTGATGGACCTGATGAATATTCCTTTACCTGCTGTTCTGCCTGAATGCCAGTCATCCAGTGTTGATTACTTTGAGAGGAAAGGTACTGTCTGTCTAACAAACCTGGCTTTATTTCCACCTTGGTTATTTCATCCTTAACGCTCTCCTCCTTTTTTAAAATCTTTTTTAAGTTGAGAAGGAATCTGATTTCTATGACGTCTCTGAGGAGTCGGCAGGCTTCACTGGTCAGCGACTGAACAAGAAGATGCAAGTGTACTCTGGTGCCAAGACTGTCTTCCTCCCAACCATGATGAGTTTGCACCAACAGTGTATCCGCACACTCCAGAATAATATTAACTGTGAGTGAAAGCAAAAAGAAAATCCTTTTTTTTGCAGGGCTCTGATCAGTCTGCCAGTTTGTTGGATTTATATTTAGGTGCAGGGATCTCTTCTCAGTGCTCTATGAAACTGGTGGAGTCCCGTTTGAAATCCTCGAGCCGGTGTTGGAGAGGTGTACGCCAGAGCAGCTGCTACGCGTTGAAGAATGCAACCCAGTAAGAATGTGAATACATTTAGTGCAGATGCACACTTAGTGGCCACTACTATAAGGTACAACTGCTTAGCACTGCATTAAGCCTATTTGTCTCTAGTGCAGCTGAAACTGATAGACTCTGACATGATTTATCCTGTTATATTCTAAGTCTACATTTATTTAGGGTGAAATATGGCCATCAAATCATGCCTGATAGAGGCTAACATTGTATTGGAAATCATGTGGATTCCCCTGAAGCATGAACTGTATTGATGAGGAAACCAGTCTGTGAGAGTGAATGCGAGCACTATACTTTCTTTTAGAGGAGAAGCCATTCAAGTTCATTAAATCTAAACAACATTATAGACCCTTGGAAGTATTACTGTAATGAGTAAGTTGTCCTATAAGATGTCTTGTGTGCAGAGATATTTACTGTGTACATCAGTCCATGTTTGGATACTGCAGCTGATAGTTTTATGAATTATAATTAGTTTATTTATTTATTTATTTATTTATTTATTTATTAAATATACAGCTGCTATGTCTGGTGTTGTTCATTTTCTACTTCTTAGCTGTATCTCAGTGCTGCTGTATCTCATCCAAGCAAGTTTTAACAAGTTGAATGATCAATCATGTCTTTCTGCACACCGCACTGAGCTTTTTATTGCCTTCTACTTCTCTGACCTCCTTCACTGAGCTGTACTATTTGTTTCATGAAGTGGAATAAAATCCAGGGAGTGCAGCTTTGAACCATCACGACTGGCCTCAATAATCCAATAAGATCACAAATCTTGTCTATAATGATGTTTAGTTGAACAGTAACTTCCCCTCTTGACCCAATTGTCTATATGCTAAGGAGCTTTGAAGGCTACTAATGTTAATGTTAATGAGCAGGTTTACCGACAGTGGCCACTGAATGTATGTTGGTTTAAACCTAAATGTTGTAGACTTAAGGTAAATATTTAAAAGTGTATTATAGGTATTGTAAAATTTGTGATAAGAGGAGCATTTTGTTTGAGCATACAGGAGTTTATTTGCTCTAAGGTCTGTAATTGTTTCCACAGATCTACGTCGGAGTGACAGACCACTTATGGGGGAAACATTGTCAGAGGGACTTTAAAGACTCCAAACTTCAGGAGTATGAATCATGGAAGGAGATGTATGTCAGGCTGTCTGAGGAGAGGGAGAGGAAACTCCAAAGACTGACAAAAAGCATTGTCTCTGCACATTCTAGCAAACCCAAAGGTGAGAGTCTTTTTCTAATTACATCCATTGTGATAACAGTTAACATGGGATAAGTAAGGGTTTTATATACACTGCATGCTGTAGAAAGATATTATTTAGTTCTTATAATGTTCTGTACACTGTAACACACTTTTTATTTATTTTTTTAGGTCGGCAGGTGAAGATGGCATTTATTCACACTGTTGCCAAGCCACCGAGAGATGTGCGAATTCAGCAGGAAATTCATGGAACTGCTGTTCAGCAGCCTCATCAGCTCAGGTGCAGGTGGGTTTCAGGCAGCATCCTAAATATAGAGAAATATCTACACAGGTTTTGTGATTAGCGTGGGATTTTGTTTTTTTTATTAATTTCAGCTATGTTGTTTTTCTAATTATAAAGTTCAGAAACAAACCAAAGATTATAGGAGCCATACTGGGGGGAATAGTTGTACATTTATCAAAACATGAACACCTGCTAAGCCTTGTGCTTGCTCTGCTCCTCTCCCACATAAAAGCCCTTAACTACAAAGTGATCACTCAACAACAGCAGCTTAGCAGGGTCATAATCTGTCGGAGACTCGTGATAACGGTGGGTGAAATGCTTTTTGGGTGAGCTTAGCCGAACACAGGAATTGGAGCAATGTGCTGGATAAACTGGTTTTATTCTGGTTAGAGACGGCCTTTGGTCCTTTGTTGCGACATGGGATGTTATGCTCACTAGCTGTAGTGTAACGCCGACATTTGGTGGTAGATGGAGGCTCATTTTGTGTGCATTGTTTTGTAAATAATCACTCTTATGATTATTATTTCTTCAATTAAACAGTGTCAAGGTTCAGGACAACAGGCCCAGGCCGAGTTGTAATGAGCCCAGCAGGTCCAGCAGCACCAGTTCAGGGGCAAGCAATACACAAGACCCTCGCAAAAAAACAAGTGAGCTATTTAGTATTGTAGATGCAATATTGCTCGTTTGGTACAACTTTCCAAACCAGTCCAGCTGGCCTGTTCAGATATTTATCTTGTCTTTTAAAGGTATACATATAGATCCTTAACATTTGACCATATCATCTACTTTCTTCCTGTTCACACAGGAGTTGCTCCAATGATGGCAAAGTCCTTAAAGGCGTTTAAGAAACAGCTGGGACGCAGATAAACTCTCTTATATGATCTTGCTATTTACAGTGTGTGGATGTGGTGAAAGTGCACTCTATCATTCATTAACTTTGAACAATAGAAAGCCCGTGTTTCACCTTTGGATTATTCTGTGTTGTTTGTGTAAATATATGGGCAGTTGCCATATTTCTTTTCTTTGTAACTGTGAGTTATCTTCACTATTAAATGGACAATGAAATGAGCAAATTTGTATGATATTTTGTCTTTTGGCCTGTTTGAGCCGAGGTCAGTTGGTAGGTTATTTAACGGGGTGTGGCTCCCTCTAGAGGATGTGTACAGAAGTGCATGTCATTTTCTGTATGTTTACAAATTCTCTGTCCTACACATCAAATTTCAGATTATCTTGATGAATGCAAATGTTTTGATATCAGTGTGGTCCTCTCACTTCTAACTAATGATTGAATAAAATCAAAATGAGAAAATCTAAGCGTTAGAACAGGTAACATTCAATACATTAGGTTCGTTGCTGGTGTTATATTAAAATCCTTCATTATCAAATGGTTTATGTGAATGGATCATGAACTGCACTTTCAAGCTATTAAACCTATAAAATATATTGACAGTTTAACAACAGTTGATGTTTTGTTGTTTATTCGGGTTCAAACTGTGTTCTCATCCACTTGATTTTGAGCCAAACAATCCTGAAAAGAGGTCAGTAAAGTGTTCCACATAATGAAAAGAAGGCAGCTTGTTGTCTGCTCCCTGTAATCCTCCTTGTGGTGTCGTCTTTTATTTGGGGGGGGGGCATCTGCTCTCTGCCACTTCTCAAGGACCCTTCTTGTCTATTTTTGTTTCTCGGATATGTTCGGACAACTGTTTGAGATATTAAAAGGGAAGGCTGTGAAACTGCTGCAGCCTTCAGCACCACCTGTGGCAGCCAACTAAGACTGCACCAATAATCCTCCTTGGAGAGGGTAACAAAATGACCTGAGGGTCAGTGAGGCTGTCCTACCACAAGGGGACCACAGAAAGAGGGCTGTGGAGATGACCTTGACCTCTGACCTGAAAGGGAGCTGAAAGAAAAAATCCTAGTGGATGATTATTTCTTTAGGAAATTGAAATGAAAGGCAGCACCTATTATGTTTTAAGCCTTGACAGCTGGATTATGAGTTGAGTGGGATGTGATTTCATGTGGGTCCTGCTTTAGTACCTGATCTCGGGTCCCTGTATCAAATTCTAGCTTTAAGACCATCATTTCAGCAGATATTGTGCTTGAGTTTACCACACAGCAAACCTAGGGTGGTGTAATGTTCCAGCATATGAGCATTGAACAAAATGCACAGAGGAGGAGGAGGACGAGGAGGAGGAAGGTCAGATTAACAGGAGCTCATTTTTGCCTTATCTGGCAATGCATTTAAGTTGTTTTTTTTTAACTAAAACGTAGTTTATATCCAATTTGCTAGACATTTAATATCATACTTTTTATTATAATTAACCACAAACAAGTCTACAATCTATAAGACTGGGATCTCCATTGGTAGAAGCAATATTGAGATGTTATGTAAATGTGGGAACACGACAACAATCAATTATAAGTTCTGCTTTCAAAAGCTTAAAGTTGATATTGCTGCTTTAGTGGTCAATGTAACTACTAAACAATGGCCAACAATGGTGTCTTTTTCACTAATATACCCCATTTGAATATGTTTTTACCCCCTGAGCAGCACAAAACCAAAATTTTTGGTAGAAAATAAATGCTTTTATGAAGAGGTACAATACACTTAAAGGCTTAATTTCAAATGTTCATCACTTAATTCATATCAATCAACCGATTGTTTGTGCAATAACACTAAGACGGCACTGTGGTTGCATTGAACTGCAAATTTTTGGTAAGTTGCACATAGAAATGTTACAGAGAGTTTAACTGCTGTGATGAAATCCTTCCAGAGGTTTTTAATAGCCAAGAAAATGATAACAGCATCCTGGTTGAAGCCACAATCGGCATAATACAGATGATCACAGCGAGATTACAGCTGAAAACATACATATTTCCTGAAAGATGGTCACCAATAATACAAGCAATGACAGAACTTTAGTTTAGTTCTAGTTTATTTCATTGTATTTATATTTATTGTTTATTTGAATTAATTAATTAACAAATAATTATGACTGTTTCAGGACAATGTTTAGAATAGAAATGAAGATAATTTAAAAACAAGTGTAATTGAATGAGCGCCTCCTCCTGTGTGTTCTCTATATTATGTGTTAAATAAAATGTCAATTCAATAATATGTTAAAATAATTGTTATATTCAACAGAAGTTCAGAACAGAACGACTGATAAACATATAGCCTACAATGAACCTAAACAGTGAACACAATAACTGATGGAAATTTGTGTAAAACGAGAGAAATTTGGGTGAATTTTGATCTTTGTTGACAAATTCAGTATTTTCTTCTACCTGATATTTGATCATTGTTCTCTTTAGTACTGAAAATTGCTTATATTTCTAATACAGGACGAGACTGTTTATGAATACAGCTTCTGTTCAGCTCTTCAAATATCTTATATAATAATCTAAAATTTAAAAACAACAATTTCATTTAGTTTTCCTCACAGAAACGAACAATAGGCTATATATTTAATTTTCTTGAACCCCTTAAAATGAAGAAGGCCGTCCTGACCTCCTCCAGGTTGGGAACCACTGCTCCTTCAGCCTCACAGCTCTCCCTAGTTTCACACATGCTAAGATAAGATAATATGAGATAAGATATTCCTTTATTGATCTCCTGTAGAAATTAAAATCAGACACATCAGCGTTGAGGAATGTAGTTCAAAAAGTACAGAAGTGTAAAAGTACAATAAAGAATCACAAAATAAGAGACTATAATGAAAAAATATGTACACAATATGCAATATATATAATATAATATAGCAATATAACTAAAACAAATAGAAAATAAACCTATTTTAAATGATAAATACTATTTACACAGCACAGCTAAATATTATATTTTAAAACACACAATTCCCCATTATTCCATTATTATTCTGGGCGTCCTCCCTCTGCCTTGTGGCGGTGGTGGTACAGGGGGGCACCCGGGGCAGCTTTATCAGCCCTCCGTGCCCCGTCATGGCGGCCCTGTGCTGGGACGGGACCATCCAGAAGAGCGACCGGAGGGAGGAGGGAGGAGGGACCGGAGGGAGGAGCAGCCTGGAACGGTGACGTAGGATTGGAATGAGGGAGTGAATGTTCCGGGTCAGAAACTGGACGGGAGAGGAAATTAACTCCGGGACGAGAGACGGAAAAAAAAAAAAAAAAAAAAACTCCTCCTCCTCCACACTCTCCCCCCCCCCCCCCCCATCAACCCCCCAACAACCACAACCACCAACACCAGAGAATGCGGTCCTCTTCTACACGGAGATGTAGCCTGCGCTCTTTTACGCGAAGTTAAAAAGGCGTCGGAGGTCGACGTGGAGGAAGTAAGGAAGGAAGAAGAAGGAGAAGAAAAAAAACAAAAAACAGGTGCCTAGAAACTACCAAAGTGAGGCAACGACGGATTCTCATGTTCGCCGCGACCGGACGAAGCTCGCGACTTTACCAACCGTTGGGGAGTTTCGCCTCGGTTTTTTTTTTTTTTTTTTTTAACGGTTAATTTAGTTCAGGTCTAGTTCCCGCTCGTAGCAATCTGTTGCATCCCCCACCTCTCCTTCCCCACCTCTCCTGTCCTCTCCGTCTCCCTTTACCTCTTAAACCCACCACCCCCCCTCTCGGTTTTGTTCGTTTATCGCACGGGTACGGGGTTTTTCTACTCCCACCCTTCCCCGTGATGTTTCACTGTATCCCCCTGTGGCGGTGCAACCGTCATGTTGAGGTGATCGATAAACGCCACTGCTCCCTGCTGTATGTGCCCGATGAGATCTACCGCTACGGCCGGAGTTTGGAGGAGCTGTTGCTGGATGCCAACCAACTCCGAGACTTGCCCAAGGTAAAAAAGCAAGACAGTCGCTTTTCCTCTCACGGGTTGTTGTTGTTGTTGTTCGTGTTTTATTTTTAATGGCAGGTTTATTTTTGGTAACGTGAAGTGCGTCCCTCCTGTTCAAGTGTTTCTGACACGGAGCTTTGCTTTGCTAACTGAGCTGATCAGGCATCCCGTGAGAGTCTGGTGGGGACCTGGGGACAGTAATTACGCAAGATCAGCAAACAGGGCAGCATGTGTAGGTGGAAAATTTCCCCCTGAAACTACACCTCCGGTTACAGGTTAGGTTAGGTCTGGGTTGGGACCATTAAAACCATTAGGAGTACCAGGCGTGGGGCTAAATGGGAATTTCATGTCAAGATTATCATTAAAATATGGCACTAAACTGGAAGAAACATCACAGATAGGCAGCTCATCTCCAGCTTTATTTTGGAATTTATTTTATTTCCACACATCCGGTTTGACCTTTTTTTTTTTTTATGTGAGGGGTATAAGGGGCAAACCTGGGCCTTCAGTCATAGTGGCAGGCTTTGGATATTTGGAATAACTGGAAAGATATCAGCTCCTTCTTGTCCTCTTGTACAGGACTGTATGCTGGTGAGCTACACAGCTTTTCAAAGTAAAGCCAATAATGCAAATTTACCACAATACATGTGTGTTGTCCCACCTATTCATAGTCTTTTTTTTTTTTTTTGCAAAGCCCTGACATTGTGTCGGATAGGTCAAACCCGTTTGGGCAGGTGATCCCATGCTGAGGTCAGAAATACCAGTGACCCTTTTGTCTCCGAAGCTACGACAGCAGGACAGAGAGCCATGACTGTATGCAAAG